CTCTGGGAAGGGGGTCTCCTGTGTCGTCAGAAACCCCCTGCTCAGCCAGGAGAAGACAGCCAGAGTCTCCATTGCAGGTGAGTGCCCTGCCCCACACTGAGCTCAGCTGTGGCCACAGGGAGAAGGAGGCCTGAGTGTCTGCTGCTGACCTGGGTCTGTGCAGTGAACATAAGGCTCAGAGCAGGCACCTGGGTGCCCTTTACCTCATGAAGCTGTTGATGTCACAGACATTTTCTGAGCATCCCTGCTGCCTCCACCTGGGACAGGCGATGGGGATGGGCAAATGGTAAATGTCAGCAAACACATGACAAAGTGGAGAAAGTATGTGCAGACACATCCTGGAGAAAGGGCTGAGCTCCTCAAAACAGTAAACAGCTCAGTACAGAAATGAATGGTTCCCAGAAGGAAATACCTCGGGGAAGGATGTCCAGTCTCTCTGAGCAGGGAGACGTTTCCACCTGTGAGATTGGCAGCAAACAAACCATGTAGTTGGTAACACTGATGGCAGGACTGTGGGGAGACAGTCACTCTTAGACGTGTGTTGCTATCAGTTGGTATAAATTGACACACCTTATATTGGGGGGGGGGAGTAGAAGAATCTTAATACAATCTACTTATTTATTGACAAAATCCCAGTTCTAGGAATATATCTGACAGATCAGCTCAGGGTTATGTGAAATAACTGATGGACAAAGTTATTTCTTTTTAAAAAATATATTTTTATTGATTTCAGAGAGGAAGGGAGAGGGAGAGAAAGAGAGGATCATCAATGATGTAAGGGAATCATCGGCTGCCACCTGATTGGGACCAAACCCACAACCCAGGCTTGTGCCCTTGACCAGAATCAAACCTGGGACCCTCCAGTCCACAGGCCAGTGCTCTATCCACTGAGCCAAACCAGCCAGGGCATAAAGTTATTTCTTGGAGCATCAGTTATAATAACAATAGTCAGAGAGAGTTCAAATGCCACCCATGGGGGTTCCTGTGCAGTGGAGGCTGTGCTCTCCATGCCGAGAGGGAAAGGTCCTCAGGGCCCACGATGCACTGAGAAACGAGCTGTGGAGCAGCTTGCGTAGATGCTGCCTGTGGTGTAAGCAAGAAAAATAAGAAGATGTTTATGTTTTTTATGTATATATACTAGAGGCCCGTTGCAGGAAGGTTCCTGCAAGAATAGGACTTCCTGCGGTCCTAGTATATGTGACAGAAAGAGTTCTGGGAACTTTAGGGAAGACAATGGTCATTGCCCCTCTTGAGAGACCTTGTGACCCTTCGGGCCAATGGCTGAGGCTTTTTTTCCCCAGGCCCCTTCTTCTCCAGCACGAAGCCCTGGCAGGTGGCCTTTGGGGTGACCCTTATGGCTCTGCTGGGGCTTCTGGCTGGGTTGGTGATCTCGTGGTGGCAACAGCAGAAGAGAATCAGGGCCTTGAGCCAGGAGAAGGAGAGGGAGCGAGCTGAGAAAGAAGCAGCGCTGGCGGCGAAGGAGTATGAGCGAGCTGAGAAAGAAGCAGCATGGATGAAGGAGCAGCTGGAGCGATGCACCAAAGGTGAGGCCTGGCTGCAGGTGGGTGGGACCTCCCTGCCCCAGGCCACCCACCCAGGCGCGGGTCCCCCTTTCCATCTCATTGACAGCACCTTCTCTTTCTGCTTATTTCCAGAGAAGCTGCAGGAGGAGCTCAGTAAGTCCCAATCCCCCGCCAGGAGGGTTCTGGGGTCCCTGGTTACCCCCTCACTGACCCCTCCCGATTCCCCTGCAGGGTGGAGGAAGAAGCAGTACCTGGAGCGTGAGTACCTGGACCTGGACTGACATCAGAGATTATGTGCTGGGACCTGTCCAGCCCGTTCCTCACCCCTGACTGCCCAGGGGAAGGAATGGGGACACTGATAGGAGAGGTCGGGCAGGGGATTCCTCCCTATAGAAAGGGGTCAGGCTCTCTCCACCAGACCGCTCACACCCGGAAGTCCAGAGAACCCCAGAAAGGAGAGGAGGAGATGGACTTGGATGTGAGTCCTCCCTCCCTGGCTGCTCTATAGAATCTACAGGCTGCTGAGAGGAAACCAGAAGGAGAGAGAACATTTTCTTCTAAGGAGGAGGGGCTGGTGTCAGTTGTCCCAGATTTATCATAACTGCTGAAAAGTAGTGTCTGAA